TTTTTTTTTTTCAAAACAGGAATACCCTAATCATAGTTTTCCCATATGATTTTTGGACAAGAAGAGAATGATTTTTAACAAAATATTTACAGTACCTCAAGTTTTCTAAAATCTTTGCAAAATCTAGAGTTTTACACGAAGAGATTTGCAAATTAGCTAACCAGAATCAAAATCTGGAGTTTTACTTTCAGTTACTATCTTTACAAAACAATATTTCTAGAAGTATTATGCTAAATAAATCAACCAAGCAACCCAAGCTCATTTTTTTGTTTTTGAGTAATGTAATCAAACTTTATGCCATTAAAAAGAGCTCAATAAATGCTGTACAATATCAACCGTAACTGGTGCTCAGCAAAACTCAGATTAAAATCCTTTTTTTAAATCCCCAATAGCACGTTCAGCAAGAAGAAAGATTAAGTTCTAATGAACATTATACCAGAAAATATCACTTTTATCATGCAAATTTCAAAGTTAATTTTTTTTTTGGCAGCTGATGAAAATTATAGCTAAATGATGATGAGGAAAGTGTTATGTATGAGGTGAGAGATTATAAATAAGTTTTAATATACCAGCAAGCAACGGTTAGTGCAGTATGGGACAGTGAGATAACAAAATGACATCAAGCATTAAAAACTTAGAAAAAAGAAGAAACATCAATTCTGCTTGCAGTGAGTCAACAAAATACTATTAAAAGAAAAAAAAAATTCAACCAACCCCAGTCATGAAATTTCCCAAAAGTATGACAGCGTATTCTTACAGAAAATTGTCAAATTGATAGAATTTGGAGGAAAAAATTAAGATTATTCAATTAATTATATAGAGAAAATAAAGGACAAATCATCTCTAAATAGGAAATATTCATAAACTGAAACACATTTGTCTTTATTAGAGTTGTCTCTCTTGTTAAAGAGTTCAGTTCTCCTTAAAATAAAAGAATTTAATGATCTAAACAATCTTTTACTCTATTTTCACTTTCACTTCCCTTTTTAATTGTAAAGTAACCATTGCAAGCAGAATCTGTTCAATAAATGTTGATTAGTAAGTTTAATGAGAAGGTTAGGTTCAGTGTGCATACAATGTATTTCACAACACACAACACTGAATTAAATGTGAAGACTTGAAATCAGTTCTCTGCAATCAAACAGGTCAAAGGTCAAAAGTGAATAAAGACTAAATCAACTAAATGTAAAATCTTACTATCTAAATCAATGATTCAATGTTCGAGATAGCAAAATATAACTGTATTAGATGCATAACAAGAGAGCATCAAACATATTATACTGCACTATAACTGATCAGACACACAATATCTAAGTTAACAGAAACACAAGCCATAACATATCAATTCAAAGAAATGGTCTGTCTAAATTTCTCAAAAAGCCATGGCTTTCTACAGCTTAAGGGTTTGATCCCGTTTTGCACACATTTGAATTTCAGGCACAGGGCTCTCACACCCATTTTTGGTACTGGGGCCGGGGCCAGTGGAATTAGGAAAACAGCGATGTTTTTATAAAAAAAAATTGGGAATTTTCAGTCTATGCGAAAGTTATTTTTTACCACACAGGACCGAATCAAATTTTGTCAGACTGAAAAAAACTTGTGTAAGCAAATGAAACATGTGAAAATTAGTGATGGAAAATTATTATCGGTTATAATCGGTTGGGCATAATCCATTAAAAATCGTAGAAAAGTTAAACTTATTCAAATTTCAGTCAGGTTTTTACAAAAAAAATATCATAACCTAATTAATATTTCTTTTTAAAAAAGTGGAATATAATATTTCATAACTTTAAACAAAATCAATATATTGAAACAGAATGGGAATTTATTTCTTTAACAATTCCAGTCAATGGGTATATTACTGGTATTAGTCCCACCTTTCATTACATGCATTTATTTCTTGAGATTACAAGTTTTAAAAGTTATCAACAAACTAGACTTGTTATATTATTGATTATAATAACGTTTACATATTGTCTACACTTAAAATGTTTTTCTTTGTATAGTAAAACATCGTATTATTGTCTTTTCCTGTTATTAGTCTGACCCTATGTTCAGTCATGGCGGTAATAAAAACATGGCGGTGATTCCTTCGATGTTTTAAACATTCATCATTACTTTAAGTTCTTTGCACTTGGATTTGGTAATAAAATTGAAGTGTGACTATTTTATTTTTTGTCAGCGATGTTGGCAACATTTATTTCTTACTCTGAGACATCGGACATTCCGGTCCCGTTAAAAATCGGTTAGGTCCCACGGTCTGATGCCTTTCGCATAGACTGAATTTTTAAACTGTCATAACCTAAGCTCTTAAAACAGGAAAAATCAAATAAACACAGAGTAATTATAGTAACTGAAACGAATCATCATCATCGCTTTTACGACTGTGAAAGATATGCTTTTTATTAACAGTTATAAATTTCAAGCAATGATACATTGGGAATTTTTACACTAAAATTTGGGAAAAAAGGTGCCTTTTTCAAGTTGGGAACGGGGCCGAATATCGGCCCCAAATAAAGAGAATCGAGAGCCCTGAGGCATATGAAAAATGTGTGCAAATTGGGAATTCAAACAGATGAGATAATTAGTTAATTGTATAGTCTAAGTCCAAAAAAATTATAGTCTTGTTTCCTGCTACTAGCCTGAAAAAAATAGGGTAGGTAGGTAGGTAAATTATTTTATTTTTCTTTTTTATTTTATTTTTTCTGATGGTGTTTCTTTGGATATGTTTTAATACAAGATCAAATTAAACATAGGTCAATATTGCCTTTTGACATTAAATTTCATGCATTTTGATGCACAACTCACGTGGTATTTTATGAATGTCCTTATTTAAAACATAGAATATTATGAAATACCACTTGAAGATATATTTTTCTCAGTTTTGGAACATGAAATTCCAAAAATTCCTGATTTTTTTCCCCAAAACTTAAAAAAACTTTAGGGTCGGGTGCAAAAAATAGGGTATCTCGGGTAGCAGGAAAAAAGACTATTTTTATTTTTGTCCTAATATACCAAAGTTGGTAGATAGGGGAAAGGTGAACCTATAAGAAGGTCAAGACTGCTTTTGAGTGAAGCACTGTCCTAACTAAATTGTGGTTTTGTTTATTGTGGGGACATTTAGTTTTATTCCAAAAAGATTTTTAACCATATTCATAACTATAACTTGTTGTAACCAAGCAGATCTAACTATTCATAATATGCTGAAGTGTTCCCTCATGCAAGATAATAGATATGCCCTTGCATAATATTGTTCGATATTTTACAAGCATATCCCATCATGTTCCCATCAACATATAAGAAAGAAGTTTAGGAAATAGTTATGAAAGCCTAGAAAATTAACAAAATTGAATCGATGGCCAAGGTACAATATCCATTTTAGTTTTACTTAAATTATAGCAAATTAAACTCACATACTCATAGCCCCCCCCCCCAAAATTTAGCAGGATGTTTGGATATTATATATAAATCTTTTAACAGGCAGTATACACACTAGCTTTAGGAAACTGGTGGTTGTTGTAACTGTTATTAAAGTCAGAGTGAGAGTGTATTAATGAAACACGGCTAAACTACTAATACAGGGCTTAATCATCCTTACACGTTACATCTTAGTTCAGAAAATGGACTCTGTCTCAATTGAGAAAATACCCCCCCCCCAAAAAAAAAACAAACCTTAGGTACAAATTGCAAATTGCCAAAATGAATTAAAATGATAAACATTATTTTTTTTTATGGTTTTACATTGAAAAACTTGAAATGTTGCGATTTAAGTGATTCATTAAGGGTACAGGGCCCTGCTGCAGAAAGGGACAATTAAGCCCTGCGGTATTATAACATAACAACTCACCAGTGTCCTGTCCTAAAAGTGGAATCACATAAACTCTTTAATTTAAGAGGAACAAAGCAGTGATTTAACACTTAAATCATTTGGAAAGCAAAATTTTAAATTGTTAAAACAAAATATTACTGACATTTTGTGATGTGAATTTTTAATTTTTACAAAGGATCAGTTTACAAATATATGTATTGGATGCAAAGTTTAGTATGCAGCCTTCATATTTAGATGTGGTTGATGTTAAAAATCATACTGTGACAAGAAATTGAAGATTATGAAGAATGCATGAACATATTTCTTGGAAAATGTAATTTACAAACAAAGACATTGACTTACAGTGAATAAAGAAAGTCTTAATTGAAGTAAACTCTTTCTGAATGACATAAGTGCTAAATCAATGGAGATCAAAAGATCATACTTTAAATTCCAAGGTCTTATGGCACTGATTATCATTTCTTTAAAAAAAATCAAATTGCATTCCTCGCCTATTATATTTAACATGTTTAATATGCTTTATATTAATCACGTTAATTGGAAAAGGTTAATTCGGATCATGCTTACAAAAGAAAATCTAAAAAAAATAATTTCTAGTATGTATTTTAATGTTTTGTTTAGCTTGAACAATAACATGCATGCTAAGCTGCCATTTCAATACTAATTAAAACTTTTTAAAAATCAAAATGTCATAAATCTAAAGTGTGTTCTGATTTTAACATACTGATGTGCATTGTGCAACCAGGTTCTACATAGGACCATAAAACTTTAATATGGTGACATTCGGTCTCGTTTCACTTTTCCAAACTAAATTCCTTTAATTTGTAAAAGTGAAACAGAGATGAAAATCGTGGAATCTTCGAATTCTTTTGGCCCAAGAGCTAGAAGACAACCCCACAGAAATTTTAGCGAGGATTCAATTTGAATTAAGTTATTTAGTGAGGGTGTTGAGATTGCTAAAATTATATATCACTAACAATTTATTCTGTTTAAAAGGTTATTTTTATTATTATCTGTCTTTGCACAATAAAATTGCTACAATTACATCTCACTTCATTTCAGCCCCCTTTCTTTAGGGCAAATCGCAAAATTTGCATCTCGCTAAAATTTCCACTTATAAGGTACTTATGATCAAATCCAAAAGAGAAAGCAGTAAAGAGTCCAAACCTACCATAGTCATCGCTGTAGCCTGCTTATTCTCTGAATCAAACAGAGGCTTCTCTTCTCCAACCTGGAAGTCGAAGTAGACGACTTTGTGTGAGAACGTAGAGAACTCGTTACTGAAGCAGAACTTGTAGATCCCAGTCTGGTCAGGTGTCCAGGTGAAGCTGTCGTACTGTTTCTTCACGTCCTTGTACAGTGTCTGACCGTTAGGGGCGGTCAGCTCCATATCCACATCATACTGACCTCCTGTTATCACCTGTAAACAGAGGAATAACACTTCAGTTTATACAAAACTTATCATTTATTCTCCCTGAAAATTATGTATGTTACCGTAAAGTATTATAACAGTTCCCTGATATATCTTAAATGGCAGGATTTCAACTTTTGTTGAATTGATTCCATTCTTAGGCCATATAAAATTGAAATCTTGGTTCTCAGGCCCGCGCGCATCCATTTTGAGGTAGCCGCATTGTCGATTTTATTGTAATTTTGATAAAATAAAAAGTTGGTATTGCGGAGACCAATCCGGGAAAAAAATTTCCGACCTCATTTGTTTCGTAGTTTAGTATTCAAATACCACATCCGGTAGCCATTTACAATGAGATTTTGGCTACTTCGTTTGAAAATACATTCGAGGACATTACCTACGATGTTTACACGCTGTTAAGCAATGGATAAAGCAGAAATTTTGACCAGAAATGGAAAGTATATCTGTGATTTAAAAAATTATCTTTATGTTAAAGAAAATTTGGAAATTAAAATTAAAAAAAATTCCTCCCTCATCTACTTTATTGCCAATAAAATGAAAAATAAAATGCCGCCCTCCCGCATCTGTTTTGGAGAAAATTGGCCTGAGAACCAGGGAATTAAATTTAGATAGCCTTAGGGTGAATTCACCATGCATCGGATACCCTTGTACTTCAACAAGTTCTAGCAATATCGCTACGGACGGAAAATTATCAAAATGGAGTTCAACATTTAGTTTGTGATTAAAATAACAATTTAGGACACAATTATATGCCGTTTATTGAGAAAATATCGCCAAAAATCGAGTTTTTAGAAAAAACTGAAAATTCACCATGGATCGGACATTGTTCACCATGCATCGGACAGACAGTATGGAGACCGGAAAAATATCATACCTTTATCACAGTGCTTTAAAATCCTTGATATGGATATATTTTCATCTTTTATCTCAGAAATAACCCTCAAGTTTAATTAAATCGACGATATTATTGCACAAATGTAGAACGATTCTCGATACCTCACTCTGCCTTAGAAATGCTTTAAAATGCTTATAATGCCGTTATTCGCGCCTTTTTTCTCATGGTTTATCATACTCTGGTTTGAAGAAATAAATTGAGTAAAATTCCAGACGTCATATATCGATAACTTGTATTTTGACTGAAAATATAGAGTTTTTATTTTCTTTTTCCGCAAAAAACAGCTGTCAGCTGGGTTCTGTATGAAAATGGTAGTGCTTACCTTTGCATCGAAAAGTGTCCGATGCATGGTTAATTTGTGTCCGATGTACGGTGAAAATAGCATACTAGTAAAAACCAGCTCTAATAAGAATTAAACAAACATTGAAGTGAAATTTAATTATAATTTATGTAAAATTACCAATCCCTGACAAAATTCACCAAAGTCTGACTCGTTCCGTGGAAGTCGAATTTAAAAGAACGATAACTTTAAAAATTACAACATCATAAATTTCGGGTTATTCCCCTTTGATGATGTAAAATATGACGTAACTTCAAGGCCATTTGCGGGGTATTTTTATCACAACATGATAAACACAATCGGTATCATTAAAAAATTTAAATCTTCGTCTTTATGACAGAAACAAATAAATACACAGAACTCTTAGGGAGAAAGAGAGTTTATTGCCTAAAGTTGTCCGAAGCAAGGTATGTGTCCGATGCATGGTGAACTCACCCTATATGTTTTTCTTTATCATGGTAATTCTAAATTTGTATACTTCCATTCAAATGACACCTTTTTTAGCAAATATGTTTGGTTGCATAATTATTGTCAAGAAAAAAAATTTCCTGCAACATTTCAAAAACTCAAACATATGGTTAAAAAAGGACTTCCTATAAATTAATGTTTTCCTTCAGCTTCTTTAATAAGGACACTGTATCTGTTTACAGAGAACTAACACTTATAAGTAAAATTTTCATGTTGTAACTGCTGGGAATTTAACAATACTTCAAATAAAAAGCTAGATCCAATGTACATGTACATGAATGTGAACAGAGGAAAATCGGGCTAACGATTCATCGCCTCCAAATTCTGCAAATTTGCATCAATATAAATATCATAATTTAAATGTTTGAAACCTGCCATATGGCAAGAACAATTCTCACCTGAAATTCTATCGTGGATTGTACGCCTTTCTCAATTTTCTCAAAGAAACACTGTTTTTCACTGTCTGGCAGTTCAAATGTCAATTCAGTCCCGAAAACCACGGAAATGAAAACTAAAATCATGGAACACACAAGATATAAGCGATCCATGTTTTTCTTTCGTCCAAGCACTTGTCTGGGTTAATTTTCTGCTCTATTAAGTCCAAATGTAACATGTGTTTATTTGTGACAACACCGGTCGATTTCCAATATGGCGAAAGTTACGTGGCATTCCTCCAAACACAAAAGAGTTCCACGACAAGTGCACGGATTATCGATCGTTGTAAATGTAGATAATTTTTTTCCTTTGAAGGGCTCAAATGATGGAAATGAATTCAGAATGAAAATAATCCGAATTACCTGTTAAAAATAAAATAAAATGAAGAAATTAATGAATAAATAAATAAAATGCATAAATAAATAAATAAATAAATAAATAAATAAATAAATAAATAATATGTTTTACGGTGTGACCGTTGAGGCGAGCGCAGTTGTACCATCAAAACACTTGAAAAATTGATCAACTTCAAACATCAATCGCACGAGAGGTCTCGACTATCACACGACGTCACGGAGCTAAAAACGGCCGAGCGTAAACTATAGACCTAACAATTTTGGTCGAAAAACATTGAAATTTCTTGTTTCTTTGAATTTCTACAAACTGAAAGCTTTTTATGCTTTAATTGTTTATTTATTTATAAAAGCAACCGACATGACTTCGTCAAAATTCGCATAAAATGAAAGCCGGTGTTGTGGCATGGGGGTATTTTTTTGAATAAGGCAAGGCAAAATCATTTCGTTAAGATTTCGGTAAGAAACAATGTTCCTTTATTTTTTTTAACTATTTTTGATTTATTTGCGCAAAGGACATTGGGTAGTGCAGGAATTCTGGGAATGTTTCACAGGGAAATTTGGCTAACATATGTACAGATTTCATTCCTCTGTTCTTACACGTTAGTAACGCTAGCTGCGCTCGCTAAAATGCATATATAAATAAATAACATGCATAAATAAATAAATAAAATGCATTAATAAATAAATAAAATGCATAAATAAATAATTAAATAATTAAATAAATAGAAAAACAACCAGACAATAAATAAATAAGTAAATTCAATTAAAATTAATAAGAAAAATAAATGAAGGCCATCTTGCAGAAAAAAAAAGAAGTTTTATGTTTGCCTTCCCGACCCATTAGCTTTTACAAAAATAGTAAGAAATCACGAAACAATATACAATGTAACTCTGTTTTTTTCTAGGGTCACTTAAGAAAAGGAAAAATATTTTACGGGGTTAATCATTTTCCCTATGGACGATTAATTTTTTCATTTATTATTGATTGTTTGTTGTAAAAATTAAGTAATACAGATCCCAAGTTAGATTTCTTCCGTATAATTAGAACGTCACTTATTTTTGTAACTTAACATGATTTCATATTCAATATGTATGTCAATCTCAAATATTGTTGTAATGCAGCTTAAACCGTGTTACATGTATGTAACTATCTAATAAGGGTCTGTTATCTTTATCATAAATAATAAGGAAACGGATTAGTATAAGTTTTTGAAACTTGTTTCCGAATCCTTTTTGATCTTTGTACTTCCTATCTGTATTTCTTGCTTGTCATGTTCAAATAAAATATGGTTTAAACTAACCAACTGTCAGTATTCGACCATATATGGATTCTACTCGAATGACCAAGCCAACATGCACTGCCTGGCATTGTACTCCTGCATGAGATCCTGCTAAGAGAGATAACTATGACCGACATTTTTTGTCCCTCGCCTTTCAAAATGAACAAGAACTATATAACACAAAAATTGCTTGCTTTGATGACTGTAGGACAATTTCTTTTTTTACATCTGATTTTTTTAAAGTCAAAGTATAACATGTATATCTGATGATGTTTTCGATATAATTTTATCATGCAATTTTTTTTTTGAAAACATATTCATTTGTTGTGTCCTTTATTGTATATTCCTAGAGTTTTTACTGGTTTGTTGGTCACATGTCTCTCATTTTAAAATAACATGAATTTTTAACAGCCATAATAGTATATATCTGATATATCGATGTTTAGATTAAGCCCAGCTGCTTTACATGTAGAAAATATATAATTTATCTTAATACGCGTTCTTGAATTCCTTTTCAAGCTATTTCTCGAGAAGGTCAAATTTCTCTCCGTTGTTTTACCTTTTCTCACACAGCTGCCTTTTTGTTTAAAAATCTATTGAGGGTTTTTATAAATTATCTAAAGCTTATGGTCTCCCATGCATATCTCATGTGGACAATTTATTTCTTCTATTAGTTTGAAAGACAAAACAATTACAGGTATAAAAGTTAATGGATCTCGAAACATGCCTTTGATTACCGAATGAGTTGGGAGACGTATTTTTACATATTATAATTGACCTTACATTTGGGCTACATACAGTCCACCAATATTTCATAAACTAACAGGTTATCATACTTTCTTTTGTTAACTAGGCCTATTTATTAGACCCATGGAACATTTATAGCGCGTGTTTTCTTGTAAGCTTCAGTATTAAAAAAATACTGTAAATATTTTCTGCTGAATTTAAATTTATGGAGATAACGAACAGTATTAGGCATCTTAAACAACAGAGATGAGAGCAGGTGTAGTCTCATGTTGCTAACAGCATCGATAAGTGATCATACAGATATCATTCTCATTTGACTGCTTTTTAAGGTAGCACAACACACTGAAGACGTCACATGTTTTCACTCATTTTTTGTGAAGAATGCAAGAAAAAGAATGACAACACTATAATGTCAATAATTCATGATATATGTAAGAAAAAGAATAACTTGTGACATGTTTTGGCCACAGTTTGTAAAAAATAGACCCATTTTATATATTGGTCATTCGGAAGCCTACATTTTAGAATGTGGTTATACCATTAAAATACAATATGTTCTTCTCAAAGCCGTAACTAAGCTCAATTTTTTAGTGAGGCTAGGGTCCTGGGCATTCCTAGTCCCAGACGGCACAAGGATAGTACTTGATGGCCAGTGGTGGGTGTTTCCAGGGGGAGGGGGATCATGAAACCTGGGTATTAGAAAATAAAAGACTTAATCTTAGAAAGTTTTTACGTTTTGAATTGTCGCCCGCATGGCGCAGCAGTTAGAGCATATGCTCTAGAATCGCAGACTAAGGAGGTGATCCTTGCATCGCGGGTTCGAATCTCACTGCGGGATGTAGAGACCGGTCCTTCTCCTATGTCACAGTAAGTGATGGCACAAAAAAGATCCCTCAGTGTTCAATTATCTTCAGTGACCCTGAAAACCCACTACAGGATTTAAAACTTGCAGCCCTCAAACGGCGAGTTGTGGTGTCTCAAAATGAATGAGAAATTCTTAGAAGGGATGTTAAACAATCAAACAATTTACTAAATAAACATTTTGTATAATAAATTACATGTGTTCTAATTGAAAATGAGGCACCTTGTGATGAAAGATTTACAGAAATTCAAACAAAAGTTGAAATATTAATTTAGCACTAAGACACATATAACTCATGAGTTCAATGTAAAACTTTTTCACTTTTCAGAAAACTCAAGAAAATTAGTGAGGCATTTGCCTCACTTGCCTCAATGGTAGTTACGGCCTTGCTTCTGTTATTGCTAGTAATTGCAAACTGAATATTTATTATGCATGATAGCGAAACTGATCGATATTTGGACATATTTATAAGTAAAAGTGGTCTCCACTCTTTGGGTAAAAAAAAGGCCAAGTCCGTACTAAAAGGTCAAGGGTCAAATATTGTGACGCCACCTACTAGTACATTTTTTTTCAAATATTTTTTAAGTCTTCAAACTATCTGAAACCGCGTGTTGGTCTCCTTCTTTTGAACCGTATTAATCTATGGTCCATTTGAATCATTCTGCGAATTTTTTAGCTTATTACATATTGGAGATTTTATATCCTAGAACAGAATATCAAGTTAAAAAATGAAAAATTTGGCCTATCTGTTGTGTACTATATTACGCCTCCACTTCACTTTTTGAAGAAAAGAACAAGGAACAAGGAACAAGAACAAAGCGCTTCGTGAAGTACAAGTCTTTCCAGTTATCAAATCCTATTTACCGCGCCGTGTGAAGGACATTTCCAGATATCAACGTACAATCCTACCTTCCACAGATGAATTGGACAATTCCTTGAGATATGGTGTGAATCAGATGTGGATACTTAAAATCCGAAGAAAGTTTTGAATTTATAAAGTCACAAAATTTCACCAAAATTAACAGTATTAAAACTTACGACTTTTAAACTTTAAATACAGCCATTCCTATTAAATCAAAGTCCAGACTTTTTGATATCATTGACAGCTGCTTTTTCAATAAAAATGAAACTTTGCAAAATTACTTTGTTAAAACACATTCTGATTGTACATACAAGTACTCTGAAGTTGAAAAAAGATGCATAAGTTTCTGATTTACAATATCTTTGTGGTGTTTGGAGACCAGGTTTTCCAGCAGTCTATTGGAATTGTCATGGGTACCAATTGCACACAGTTATTAGTAGAGCTATTTTTGTATTCGTGTGAAGCATGATTTGCCCAAAATCTTATGCGTGAAAAGAAGAAAACACTTCCTTTGGCCTCAACATGCCATTTAGATATATCGACGACGTATTGTCAATTAACAATGGTAATTTCCATTCCTACGTCGATATGATATATCCGGTGAGCTTGAAACAAAAGATTCCACAGATTCCGACGCATCTTTTTCATTATTAGATATTTTACTTGAAAAGGATGTTAATGTATTCTAACAACCAAGCATTATAAGAAACAAGATGATTTTTTTTTTTAACTTTTCAATTGTCAACTTCCCTTACTTAATATGTAGCAATATACCTTCATCACCTGCAATGGGGGTTTATATCTCAGTTGATGCGATACGCAAGAGCATGTACCACGCATGAACACTTTTTAAAACGAGGTATAAGTTTTTGACAAACAAATTGCTGAAATAAGAATATCAGCAGTCTCATTTAAAGTCACATCTCATAAGTTCTTTGGTTAATACGATGGCCTTGTCAGCAAATACAATTTATCATTAATTCAAATGCTGACTGACGTTTTTCATTTCTGTTAGACCATTATTTACACAATTGAATTAGCGATGGATTTCGCCGCTGTTTCCCGATCATTGGAGCACACAACTTGTGTGACCGAGACGTTTACTTCTTTATAGCACCCGATCCCACCTCTGATGTTTT